ATATATATATATATATAAATATATATATAAAGATATATATATATATATATATATATATATATATATATATAAAGATATATATATAAATATATATATATATATAAATATATATATATATATATATATATTATATATATTATATATATATATATATATATATATATAAAGATATATATATATATATACATACATATATATAAGATATATATATATATATAAATATATATATACATAAATATATATATATATATATATATATATATATATATTTATATATATATATATATAATATAAATGTATATATATATATATATATATATATATATATATATATATATATATATATATATATATATATATATATATATATATATAATATATATATATAATATATATATATATATATATATATATATATATATATATATATATATTAATATAAATGTATATATATATATATATATATAAACATGTATATATAAATATATATATATATATATATATATATATATATATATATATATATATAAATATCTACATATATATATATATATATATATATATATATATATATATATATATATATATATATATATATATATATATGTATATATATATATGTATATATATATATATATATATATATATATATATATATATATATATATATAAATAGTGTTGCGTGCTATTGTAAGCAATCTGTCGTAATACTGAATTAGCCTGCTGCTGGGGGCTTCAGTACATACATCGTCTGACAAATAGCCTGACTTGCAGTGGAGTGCTGCTACATTGACTGAGGGTTTGGGATAGGGAAGCAATCGTTTCATTCATCATTCTTTGTTTTTTCTTCTTCTTTTTTGAAAAAAACGGTATAGCTTAAGGTAAGCAGAAAAAGTGAGCAAATGCTTTTTTTTCTATTCCATTCTAATTTTAAATCAATGAATTGTCTGAAGATGCTTTTATCTTTTTTATCATTATTTGATTTGTTCTGAATGACTTCTGTATTGTTTTTTCATCTATGTATATGCAACAATTATGTTTTCCACCTAGTGAGCAAATGTCTTTTATGTTTTACACCTTAGAATTGTCCTTAGAGTGCTATTTATATTTTAGTGTAGCCTTTTCAAACTTATTTAGAATTTTAAAAAAACATTTTTTTCAAACTCATTTAAAAAGTTTAGAAAGGACGGTTTTCAAGGCTATTTTTAGGAAAAAAAAGTTTTAACTAGGCAGTCTTCTCTATTTGAAATTTAATGTCAGCGCACAAAAAGCGCTGACAGGATTTTTAAGTTAGCCTGCGTAATTTTAAAAATTTAATTTTCCTTTCATTTAAATTAAAATAAAAACACCAAAAAGAGTGTTTTGAATAAATACCAGATAAAATAGTTTAAAAAATAAACTGTTAAAAATGCTATTTTTCATAAAAGTTGAACAAATGAACAAAAGTTTTGTTGCAGTTTAAAACAAATCATTTTTTTTTTTTTTTTTGCAAGCATTTTTTTATGCGCTCACCAAAGTTTTTGTGGGCATGTGGGCGAGCACAAAAAGACTTAAGCGTGAAAGCGCTGGCTTAACGACGAAGACTGACTAGGCTGTTTGTTTGTTCATCAATGATAGCAATACCAGCAGCAATTTGTTTGTGTTTATGCAACAAGTTATTTTTAGTTAAGTATTAGCCCTAATGATTATAATCTGCTATAAAAAAGACTATTTTATTCATGAATTAAATTAATTTTTTATAATTTTTCTTTGAGTTAAAAAAGAGTTTGTTTTTTAATTTCAGATAAGTTTTCAAATGCGTTATTAAAAGAGTAAGTTATTATTTATTTTTAATCAGTTTTTTTTAACCTTTGTATTAATAAAAAATCATTAACATTTAAATTTTTGTGATTTTGACTTTAAAATTGTTTAGAAAAAACCTTGATCTTTGAAATAAATGTAAAATGTTTAGTTTAAAATGTGTACTAACCAATTGAATTTTCAGATTTTTTTTTATTCTTTTTAAAATTTTTTTTACTCATATTTGAATATGAGTGTTAGAAAAGAAAGAAATTTTTAAATTTAAAATTTTTTCAAACTTTGAAATTTAAAAGGTTTAAAAGTTTTAAAATACATTAAGTCATTTGACATAGAAGTTTGTAGAAAATGAATTTGATGATGTTATTGTAACTTATACTTTTTCCTTTTCAGAAAATTAGTAATAGTTTTCTAAAAAAATAATACTTTCTCCAGATCCAATATTACTTTGTTGAAAATAAGTTTTGAATGTTTAAAGTTAATTAATATTGAATTCCTTAAAAAAGATATGTAAGTTTTTGAGTAAATTATAAATAATTTTCTAGTTTATTAAATATAAAATGTTATTAATAAATTGACTTTTAAAGTTTAAGAAGATTTAAGTGACTAATTGTTTGGTTAATTCTCAAAATATAATAAAACAGTTAAATAGATTTTTTTGCTAAGTTTTTGTGTTAATTTTATAAGATGAAATATTTTTCTGTTTAATAAATACTTTTTTTTTATTGTTTTGTATGGTTAAGAAAAACAACCAAAACACTTAAAAGGATTATAAATTATAATTTCAGGAGAAATCTAAGAACTTTATAATTTATTTTAATAATATCTAATGTTTAAACTTTCTATTGACCTTTCATTGCATTTTGAGATATCCATGATACAGCATTTCTTATCAAGTGTTACTAGTTCCACCAGAAATTTGATGTTAAAATAAATTTGTTGTAAAAAGTAATTAAAGTTCTATTGTCAATTAATTATTCTGGAAAATACAGAATGCAATGCAAATGCAAACATCGTAAAATGATCAAATTGGTGAGCAACCAAGTTTTTTATTAAAAAAATGAGTACTTGTTGTCACTTATTTTTAAATGTTTGTAAAAGAATGGTAGCTTAGTATTATGGCACAAATGTCTTAATTTTGATGTAACAATTTTCAAGTGTTGAAATATGTTCCAAAGTTCCAAGTTCAATCCCCACCATGTTCCTGGTAGTAATGTGCTCAGTTTGTTTCTCCTCGCAGTGACCTTGTTCATTAAGGTTTGTATTTCTAAATTGTAGAGTTAAGAGAGGGTTGTGACCACAACTCAAGTAGCCTCCTTGATTATAGTGGCCTTCATGGTCTTCTGGAGGTAAATTGAAATTATTTTATTTATGTTACAAAAATATTTCTTGATATAAACCAGGACATTGTGAAACAACACATTTCCATGTTTAAATCTTTCTATATTGGTTAATTAAACCTTGGTTTAATTGGTTTTTAAACTTTAATAATTCAATTATAAAAGTCATTTAAAATTGAAATACAACTGTTTTAAAACTTTAAAGATAATTGTTTTCTTTTTAATTAAAGATGTTTTACTTGAATGGTTTGTAACAAACATGGCTAGGTTTATGAAACCAATTCTCCACAAAATTAGAAAATGAAAGTGAATGTCAGTATAAAAGAATTAAATTTTATATAATTAACTTTATGAAATTTAAAAGTTACTGTTTTTTTTTTCTCTCCTTTTAGTACTGGCATAAGCAGAATTCCAAATGGTTTTATATTTGAGTTTAATTTACCTAATGGCGAAAAATGTGCTCAAGTTGAATACAAGTTAAATCAGCAAGATTGGATAAATATTAATATGGAAAAAAAAGCATATCAAAGTTATGTTGTTTCCAGAAGAAAGAATACTAAATTATTTGTAAAAATAGAAAATTTCATGCTTGTCAATGCCAAAATTTATTTCAAGTTCACCTTTCAAGGCTCAAATGAAAATATTTTTCAAGTAGTTTGTACTGTTGTTATTGCAGGTATTTTTTTTATTACTTTTTAAATTAATTTAAATTTATCTTTATACTCCCATGAACAGTTCAATAAAGTTAAATGTTTTTTAGAATTTATTATTATGATGTACTTTTACTTGTTACTACCATATTTATGTGTTTCTTTTACATATGGGTTCCGCACAACTACTCCTCTAAAAATGGAATCATCAAGTGCATTGAAAGCCAAATGGAGATTTATCTGACTAAACCATCAATCTCCATTGAGTGATTTCCAATCATTATGTGTACTGCACCATTTAAACCTACACACAATGTTGACCTTTAATAGAAGAAGCCTCCTGACTACCCAGTGAGAATCTAAAGTTTTGCACTCATGTAAACAATGAATTATAGTTTTCCGAGATTAGTTGGTAATGATAATTTCTACTTTTATCTTATCTGTAGAAGTTTGGCTATTTTAAAGGGCAGCTAGGACAATCCATCTATCTTTTTATAGTTTTTCTTTTCCTTTTTCCTTCCTGATCAATATCAACTTGCTGTTTTTCTTGTTTTTTCATACTTCTCCATTACAATAATTCTTGCTTTATTGACAACATTAAGATCTATCTATGAATTGTATTTTATATATCTTATCTAACAAATAATAAATTAGCATACTGCATCATGAATGAATACATATCAGATTTTATACATAGATCAGATTAACCCTGTCTATGTAAATTTTGTATTTTTATTTTATGAAAATATCTTATTGTGTTATTAAACAATAAAAAGTCTTAAATTATCTCATTGAAAAACAATTAAAAAAAGAAGAATACTTAGAACCAATATGAACACATTTGATATAAAAAAATATAATAAATAAAACTAAAGTAAACAATAAATAATATTTAAAAAATGAATGGTTTTGAACCTCCTTGAAATGCTTTGGAAATCTATAAAAAGTAAATTTTTCTGCAAATGAAAATTTGACTTTTTTTTGACATATACATACATAATAATTAAATTACTGATTGTGTTTTTTATCATTTGTCATTTGCCATTCGAACATTTGTCAATTATATTTACCACAAGCATTTTATTTATTTGCATATAAAAAATGCACAAAATATAAAAAGGTTTGACTGGTAATAACTAAAAAAAATTTATGTTACACCAATAATAATTCAATTCTAATAAGAGTTAAAGTGTAAAGAAAAGAAGTTAACACAATGTAAAAAAATTTTTTTTAATTTAATTTGAACGCAGGTAGTGAAGGTGAACTCACTATGTGGTCAGGAAGTAAGTTTGATATTTATACTTTGATATTTATTTTGCTGTAATAAAAACCTCTTGTGTTATTATTGTATTTATTACGCAGATCAAATTTTTGTGAATGACTACTTGTAAAACACTTTGAGTTAGAAAAAGAAAAAAAAAAATAGAAAAGAGTAAATCAACAAGATTGCACACAATTTTGAAGTTGTAAAAAATTCAAATTTAACCCTGTCATTCTCAAGAAATTTGAGTTGGAAGTTTCCAATTTCATACACTGTTATCAAGAATTAGTTCTTGATAACTAATCAGTGAATGCAATATGGCATCTTTTGCAGACAATTTTTGCCATAATACTAGACAAAAAAATTATACATTATGATGTATAAATTTTTTGTCTAGTATTTATGGTCAATAATATTTCAAAAAAGTAATAGTAATAGTAGTTGTTAATTTGGAATTTTTCCAACTTATATCTTTCAAAAGGTTAGGGCTTTAAACTAAAGTACAAGATTCTGGTACAGGCTGCATAAAAGCTGTTGGATTTTAACAAAAGTTGAGAGTTGTTAATGATGAATAGTTTTAAACATCAGTAAATACAGTATGCTATATTTAATATATGAGAACAAAGACTAGAAAACTTTGTATCAGAAGACACGGTGATTCCAATATCTTGAAATGATTAAACAATTTCAATATTAGTAATCGAATTTAATGAATAAGAATGAATAGGTAAAAAAAATATTAAAAAATGGTTGTTACAGATAGGTTTCTTTTCTTAAAATTTAAATAAATTATGATGTATAAATTTTTTGACTAGTATTTATGGTCTAACCTTTACTAAGAATTTGCAACATGTTGATAACACTTGGATTTTGACTTTCTAAAGAGTAAAACTTGTTAATAAATAATTAAATTTGACTGTTATAATCAAAATTTGATACTTTGTTGTCCATAAATCATGCTAAAATTTTATTTTACAACCATAACATTAAATTTGTAACCTTAATCATTGGTTATTGTAAAGATAATTAAAAATTACAACATCTTTCAATATTTATTAAGAGTAGTTAAAATTATTTTATTTTGATGTCGGCTCAATTATTAAAAAATTAAACTTTTGAGCTCAGTGTTTCCAAATTTGGCAAGACAAGATTTGGATTTAATGTCACACCATGTGCAAGGGTGCATACTTGAATGGGTTTAAAGACCACCATTTAAAAATAACTTCCATATTACAAGCTAAAGTTAGCTTAAATCCATTTAAATTAGTCAGTGACCAGATGTGTTCAATATTGGAGTGAGTTTCTTGCAATTCTTTCGATACTGCAACACAAATTTGACTCTCAATTCTAGTATCTTCACTAGTCCTTTGAGTTAGAGGTTGTTTGATTTTCTTTTAATCTTAATATATCATTGCTGCTTTCATGTTAAAAGTATTCTTTTAAATATATATTTTTTTCACTGGTGGGCATTAAAGGGCAAATTTTAAAGTAATATAGAAATTTATGTTTAATGAAAATTTCCACGGAAAAGATCTTCTATTTCTAATTATTATTCAATTCTGTTTGGCGTCCTTTATGGACAAACCCTTACACCATCATGTAATAAATTGTCTCATCAAAAGAAATGTTTTAAAAAATAGAAAAATAAAAACGGTTTTGAAAATAGTATCACAAGCTCTTAAATTTTATATTTGACATTTATTGCGAACTCAATTTTAGTAATTAATTTTAATTTTTTTTATACATAAATGACATTGTAAAATAAAGTTACAATTACAAAATCTCAGCAATAACAAAAACAAATGTTGTTTAATTACAAAAGAATTAGAAAAAAATCACAAGCGATTGAAAGCTATTGTGGCAACAAAGAATACCAATAATTATTTTTTCATGCATAGTCATAAAATGTTATTATGACTATGGTTCATTGAAACATTAAAATTTGCTTTTATGTTTTATATTCAAGCAAGTAAATCTTGTTTTCTTGTTTTTTAAATTTCTAGTACCAGTTTGTTGTAATAAAAAAACATTCTTGTTATTAAAGGTATTTAATTTACGTTTTAAAATTTGTCAGACTTAACGCAGCAAACAGCATGGTAAAAAAATTCATTTGGTGTTTGTATTTAACACATATTGATGTTATTTTATGCTGAGTTTCATAGTTTTTACTTGAAGTTTTACAAGTTATTATTAAAGTTTTTATATGTAACAAAAATATATCTATTTTAATTGCCTCTCTGATTTTTCTTTTTTTTTTTTTACTATTTTTTATGGTTTTACATATGATTATGCTGCACAGCAGGACTGCAAACAAATGTCAAAACACATCCATACAACCTGTACAACTTTAAAAACATGTTATTGTATGATAAAATGATTTTTTAAGTAATTTTTTTGCTTAAATGTTTTTAAATAATTGAAAAAAAAGAATTAAGGAGTTTAGTGTTTTATAACTTTTTTGCTTTTTTTTAGAGGAAGAGAGAGATGTATGTATATTATTTGCTGTTATTTTATATTTTTTTAGGTATGCGGGACTATGAGTTGAATTATAATCAGTTAATCATATCATTGCCTGAAGCAATTGATTTTAATGAAAACATAAGAAAATTAGATTTGATTGATTGGCAACTGGCACTTGGTATCAACCAATCAGAGTTCTTAAATGAGATTGGTATAGCTGCTGCTGTAAACTACATAAACAAATATTTTCCTAACAACGATGTAATTCTTACACATAACCAGTTTGGTGAAAAAGACAACCTAACTATTGTTTTTCACAGATTTTTTGAAATTTTACGTGAGATTGAATATACTCGTGCAATATTAATCAGTTATCCTATAAACTATTATTCATGTAATTTTTTACAAAGTTTTTTTGAAAATATGAAGCATTTAAGATTTTCTGGAGATGAAAATAAATTATCAATTTTTATCTCAAAATATAGCCTTGTTATCTTTGTGCGAATTGCTTCTTCATTAGAGCAGATTAGAGCAGAATGTGCAAACTGTTTAAATGATATTATATTATTTTACAATGTAAACAAGTCTCTTATTGAAAATGAAGAGTTAAATATATTAGGAACTGTTGTTTTGCCTATCAAGCGAAGTGAATTGAAAGAAGAGATGTTTTTTCATTTTTCTAATGAGTTAAATTTAGACAGAGTTTTGTTTTTATGTCAAGATGATCTAAATAATGTCGAGAAATTTGAAAACTGGTGGAGATTAACTATTGCATATTTTTACTACAAGAGAAATAAATTTCCTGTAAGCAATGAATTCCTTTTTAAAAAACTTATTGGTTTAGCTATGTTTTTTATGGAAAAACTTGATACTAACAATATTAGTTTACTCTCAACCTTGGTCTCAGAATCTAGTCCTCAAATCCAGATTGAACCATTGGCTCTTAACAATCAACAAATGAATGCAATAAATAATAATATGCGTATAAAAATTATTACTGGAGGCAATGGATCAGGAAAATCTATTGTTGGAAAGAAGATTGTTGAAAGTTTTAAGAGTAAAATGTCAAAAAATTACTTGGCCTTTTATTATATATGTTGTAATCATTTCTCCTTGTTTGAATGCGAGATGAAAGAGTTTGTTGACAAAATTGAGAAGCCTCCTGATGTTACTGTTGTTTGTGATAATTTATATGAGTTATGGAAAAAGATGTGTGAAGACAAAAAAATTTCTGAAACAAATATTTCTCTTCCTAAATTACTTGAGTATTTAGCTAGCACTCAAAATAATAAAGTTTATTTTGTACTTGAAGAACTTTTTGATGAATGTTTCAATGAAGAAGATGTAAAACATTTAAAGAAGTTATTTTCTTCTGAGTTAAAAGAAAGTAAAGTTGTTATGATCATAAAACCATCAAATGAAACAAATTATTTAAACACATTGCTTTCTCAAAAAATGATTGGTATGGAAACCATAAGTCTAAATGATGAAATTAGAGGAACAAATTATCTTAAATTATTTAAAGAATCTGCTCAAGAATATCTAATTAAATATAAAACTTTTTTTTATGTTCCCAACAAAAGCAGAATACAATCTGCAAAATTCTTATGGTTTGTTTTAGCGCTGTTTTGTTTTAACATAATAAGAAAAACTGTTGTTATATGTAACAACGTGGAAGAAGTAAAATCAGTGGCATATGTAATAGATCTTATGGAAAATTTTAAAGCTGTACATTACTCACCATATTTGCAGAAATACTTACCATTGGTAGGAGAAAAAACTAAAATTACAGATATAATTAAAAAAAACTTTAATATTCTTGTAACTGAATGGTTTTTCTGCAAGGGATTTTCTGGAGCAGAATCTAAATTTTTAATTTTGTTTCAGTGCAAAAACTGTTCTGAGTGCCAAAACTGCTGTTGCTGTTCTCAGTATAAAAACTGCTGTTGCTGTTCTCAGTGTGAAAACTGCTGTTGCAAAGAGTCTTGTTGTTGTTTAGCTAAAAAGAAAAACTCAATGTAGGTTTATTTTTTAAGTTATTAGAACATTTTTTTTATACATATTTAGTATGTTACATTTTGAATTGAGGTATTTCAGATTTAATACTTATATTTATTACCTTAATATAAAAATTAATAAGTAGTCCAAGTTATTTGATTTTAAAGTTAATATTTTTCTTTTTAGACAATTTAAATTTGTTTTTGACTAGTAAAATATTAAAAGATAATAGGAATTAAAAAACTTATTGATATAAAAGAGTGAACTAAAAATAATCAAATAAATAAATAAGGATAAATATATATACTTAACTAATTTCTAATATCTAATCTTGATTAACTCATTTAACTGAAAAAAATATGAATTTTGATCTACTTTTTCTAATCATGCATTACAAGCAAGAGTAAATAAGTTTTGAACTGAGAAAAGCTTTTTAGCTGGCTTATCTGGATGAATAGCTGCATCCGGACCAAGATATTGACCAACAGTAGGCCTTGTGATGAATTAAAATTCGAAATTACTCTTAAATACTTTAAATACGTCTAACAATTAATAAATATTTTTAAATCTATGGAATAATTTTAAAACCTAACAAACCCCCGTAAAATAATTATTTAAGTTAAAAATCTAAAACTAAAAGAAAGTATTTTTGTTCAATTTTATTGACAACTTTGCTATTGCTGAATAATTTTATTAAAATGTTAGCTTAAAAAGATTTAAATTTTTTTTTTAATCTGAATTTTCTCTACTTGTAAATAATGAGCATATTTAATTTTTTTGTAATTCAAACTTTTATATCAACTGCGTGCGGTTTTTAAAATACTTTATTAAATGTTAAAACAATCGAAAATTACTTCATTAAAATTCTGTTAAAAAATATCTTTAAATATACTCAAACAAAAATTTTTTTGCTTGACGCAAATAGCCCTAGCTACACGCAAAATCGCCCTTGGACGACAAAATCGCCCTTGGTTCTAGTGTCAGTTACTCTGCAGGCATTAAAGCCCACAATTTTTGCTTCTCTCAATTTCTAACTCACATAGTCAACTTTCCAACTCGCTTTCCTGACAACCCGAGTCATTTACCTTCTCTACTCAACTTATGTCTTGTTTCTTATCCTAGTAATTGCTCAGTTTCTCCACATTTACCCTTATATGTTTCCGATCACGTTTGATCTCTCTAAAACTATTATCTCCTTCTTCATCATCAGAATCCCCTATCATAGTACCTCTTACAACTACCTTAAAGCTGACTAGGACTCTTTCCATGACTTTCATTGTGATAGCCCTTGGGTAGAAATCTTTCAACTTCCTGCTAACAAATGCAGCTGTGGTGCAGTGGTAGCGCACTTGCCTCAGAAACAAAGAATCCGTGGGTCAAACCCACCAAACGTCATTAAGTAATTGTTATTTTGTTGAACCAGTTTGAACCTTGTTTGACAAGATTCTAATTGAAACTTTTAACATTAGGAGAATTTATAATAGAAAGTTTTAACTTTTTTTCAATGTTTAATTAAAATTATTTGTTACTGTTTTTTATTTATTTATGTGTTCTTATTCAGGTTGACATAAATATACATTAATAAATAAAAATAAGAATTTTATAAATATTTTTATTTAGACATTAAAAAAAGTTTTTTTTCTTTTCTCCTATTATAAAAAAAAAATCATTTTTGTTTTTGTAAAACAAATTGTTTGTGAATGCAATTCAGGGGGGTCATCCTATATTTATCAATACTTAACCCCTTTCCTCCTGTCACAAACAATCACATATACCTGAACCTTTTTAAACTGTGATAGCAGTTTTTATGTCAAAAGTATTTTAAAAGATTGGAATGTAAATACTTTGCAGCATTTTAAAACTTTAACCTAATGAAAATAAGGCAACATGCAAAAACATAAATTATTCAAAAACACAAAAGACAAATAAAAACCAAGACTAAGATTTTCTTTTTTAAATGTTATTTACAAATGTTTACAAAAGTTGTAATTATTTTAAAAGTCAAATTTATATTAATAAAAAAAAAAAAAAATTAAAAAAAAAACGACTTTGTAAGTATTAATAAAGTTGTCATACTAAAGTAAGTTGCTCTTGGTCCTGCGGAAATTTGCTGAAAGAAAGCTTAACAAGTAGAACTATAACAGAATATAAAGAACTGTAATGTGATCATCATAATCATCATTATTATCGCGATGATGATGATGATGATTGTCATCATCATCAACAGCATAAAAGAGCAAGGCTAAAGCCTGATAATGATGATCATGATGATGATCATCATCATCATTATCATTATCATCATCAGGCTTTAGCCTTCTTCTTTTATGCTGTTTCTCTAATATAAATAATCTAGAGCGTTTTTTTTTTCTAAACCAAAGCTCGTTCATACAGTATGAAAAACACTCTCTTCAAGTTTTCTTACTTTTACCACTACCATTTTCTAATGAAAATGGTAGTGGTAAAAGTAAGAAAACTTCCACTACTTTACAGCTGCTACCTCTCTACATGCTGATACCTAAACTACTTTAATCTCTTCTAACAAACATTGTTCAACACAACGTTTTTTCTAATCTGTTTAAGATTATATCTTTTTTTCTTGTCTTGCTAGAATCACACCACACATCCATGTAAATATCTTCTCTTTCAGCAAATATTACACCATATAAATACTAAAGTTTGCCAGCATCTAAATAAATGGCAAACTTATATTTTTGCATCCACAATATGTATGCATAAAATGCATCTTATAAGCTTTTATTTCTTCTGGAATAATAGTTAGTAGACTTTTATTAATTTTCTTTAATTTTAAGTCAAGTCTCGTTCTACTCCACATTTTTCACAAACTTGAGCTGTTGCTTTATTAAACATTATTCATTTATTTTATCTTTTTTACAAGAACATTTCTCTTAAAAACAAGTCTTCTTTAAAAAAAGTCTAAAAAAAGTCCTGTGTGATGTTAAGATATGTTATTCTCATTTTACTCTTATCTCAGATGTTAGGCTCTAGAGACTTTTGGTTAATCTTCAATAATGTCATTAACTTAATTAAGTCTAACATTTGATCTCTAATTTATTGGTTTGATCTTTTTACTTCTCCCCAGAATAAAGCAGAGTTATTTGCAAAGAAATCTTACTTTAATTTGACTCTTGAATATTATGGCCATACTATTCCTAACAGTTAAACAAATTAACCTGTTGTTAAACACTGAAACCACTCTGGTTTTCAATGCTAAAGTTAATTCTCAATTAAACATTCTACAGTTTGTGCTCCAGAATAGTTTTTCATCATAGTCTTAAAAAAGGGTTTTCCAGAACTCTCTTTAATTTTTTTAAACTCTAGAAAACCCTTTGACCTCTCCAATTATCCTACAATTAGTCTTCCTCTTTATATAAATGTTTTGAGGTTATTAAATTATTTCTTTCTAACTGCAGTAGCAAAGTTATTCTTGAAGGCCTACCCTCTTCTTTATTTCAAGTAACTTTAAGTGTACCACAATTTTCTATCATTGCTCCTGTATCATTTCTAATCTGCAATAACGATCTTAATGAAATTTAAAATGGCTCTATTTGCTGACAACTCAACTTAATACTCTTGTCTTGACTGAAAGTTTTCTTTTTTTGATTGCTTAGAACAAACAGTCGATTTTGAATCTGATCTCTCTTCTCTACGTTCCTGACACCAAAACATTTCTGTGTCATTCTGTGTAAATAAGTCTCAAAGTTAGATATTTTCAAAAAGTCCGTATATATATATACATATATATATAAATACATATATATATGTATATATATATATATATATATATATATATATATATATATATATATATATATATATATATATATATGTATTTATATATATATATATATGCATATATATATATATATACATATATATATATAAACATATATATATATAAACATATATATATACATATATACACATATATATCTATAAATGTATATATATATAAAAATTTATACATACAGTGAAATCCCATTAACTCAGACTCTGCAGGGGAATATATATATTGTCCCATTTGAAGAATGAATAAATATATGTGTATATATATATATATATATATATATATATATATATATATATATATATATATATATATATATATATATATATATATATATATATATATATATATATATATATATATATTAGGGATATTAGGGATATGACAATTTTGCAACCCTATATCCCCATACTAAATTTAGTGGAGTTTTTGTTCAAAAATCAAAAAAATAACAAGCATTTTTACTATATGTCAAAACAGTTCACTCCCCAATTAAAAAATATTTATAAAAAAATAAGAAAAATGTAGTTTTTCAACACATCTTCCACTACTTTACAGAAACCAATAACCAATAAGTAACTACACCATTTTTTAATCCTGCATTTGTAGATGTTGTGTCAGATACGATCATTTTTATGGCTGGCCACAGCTCATATTCATCTAGCACATACTTTATCCCAGTATATATTATTTCACTTTTTCCATTCATCAGCTCCAGAACAGCAAGCCGAACCTCTCTATTTTCATTTTTCAATTTGATTTTCAATTCAATTTTCAAATTGAAATTCAAATTCAATTTTCAAATTGACTTGATATTCCATTTTCTTTATGTGTTTTCCATCAAAGTGCAAAGACCGCTTTTCATTTTTTAGGTTTTCCATATAATTTACTTTCAACTTTCCCTTTCTATCATAACACCTTTTTAGATACCACTTTGCGTTGGAGTATAATTAGAAATACCACTTTCTGAGAGTTTTATGTGCTTTTTTGGTACTAATCTTTGCAGAAAACACTAAATTTACTGCTGAATTTATTTTTTGTTTTTTAAATGATGATGACGGACCTTCAGCTTCAATATCACTGCTGGAACACTGCTCTTCGCTTTCTGGATCTTCTTCACTAGCTGATTCAACAAAATCTTGTCCTTGACTGATGGACATTTGTTTCTTTATCATCACTAATTTTCTTGGATGAATACCTTCAGCATTTTTAATTGTGGTACAATATTCAGCTCTTCCATTTGCTGACTTTTAAAGACAAAAAAATTCTTTATCTTCCTGACACAACCATTCACATTTCTCATCGGTTATGTCAGACAATCATGTAAAATTTTGAGTTCTGGGTTTTCGACTATCTTTGTCAAGTTTTTTCAATACATTTTCTATTTATCTTTCTGCTGCTGATTTCCCTTGTTGAATAGAAATATTTAGCTTTCTCCATAGCAATTTAGTTTCTTTAGCCACAATTGTAAATCTCTCCTTTTTACTTTTCACATTTGATGACAAACCTTTAAATCGATCAATGATAAGCTGTTCTATTGGCAACTTATTCATTTCACTAATACTTTTAACAACAGTAGTACATCTTCTGGAAGTTTTAGCTTTTTCAAACCTTACTAAATTTGATTCCCAAATTTTCTTATTCTTGTTTGAAGCAACACTATTTTTGGACATAATGTTCAAAACACAAGATAACAGTTTGACAAACTTAAAGAAGACAAGTCCGGTTATATACAAAAAACCAATTATAAAATGCTGTAGCACTTCCACACGGTCCAACAGGGTTTAAATCAAAAATTGCAGTTATTAAAAATTGCAGTTATCTCCTAAAGAAATCTGTAGAATTTATGATGTTTGTAATCACAGTCGTATATTAAGTAAGATTGTGTTGTGTCTCTATTAAGTAATTTATAACTCACTAAAAAGATAGGAAAAATTATTTTTAGCTTGAGGGGTGATCTTTTTTGACAATTTACTTAAAAAAATAGATTTTATGTTTATAAATATAATATCTCCACTTATGGTTACATGGGGAACAAAAAATTCTGAAAATCTTTTTTTATTCATACCCCTAATATATATATATATATATATATATATATATATATATATATATATATATATATATATATATATATATATATATATGTGTGTGTGTGTGTGTGTGTGTGTGTGTGTATATATAAATAAATTGTAGTATTTGACATGCTATTAAAAATGAATCAAAAATGGAAATAACTTGAAACTTTTCAGAATTGTGAAGTACTATAAATTCATATATCATATAATATAAAGTTTCAGCATTAAAGTCATTTTTCAAATATTACTTAACATAGCATGACAGTCTGAACATTTACTTTTTACCACTTTTTTTCAAACTTAATGCAGTGAATTGCATGGTAAAAAAATAATCATTCACTGTGTGTATTTAGCACATATTGATATTATTATATGTTGAGTTTAATAGTTTTACTTGAATTTTACAAGTTATCATGAAAGTACTTTATATTTAACAAAAATCTCTCTATTTCAATTGCCTCCTTGTTTTTTTACTTTAATTATTTGGGATGACTGAAAGTGTTTTAGGGTTATTCTAATTAATTGTACTTTCACAATGTTGTGCATGTTCAACTATTCCAGACGCTTTCCAGTCTGAAAAGGTTTATATTTTTCCCCATAAGTTTTATGTAATAAAAAAATAATAATTTTGAAAAGGTTTATATTTTTCCCCATTAAGTTTTTTAGGATTAAGTTACAAAAATTATATGTAAATGTTGCTCTTTAACATTTACCAGGCTTTTATATTTTTAAGATATTTTTAAAAAAGTTTTTTTAGAATTATTTTGACTTATTTTTTAGAATTATTAATTATATGCAGATTGTTATTTTAGACTATTATTATGTTATTTGTATTTTTTTTATTTAAGTTTTTTTAGTTACTTTATAGTGTTTCACTTTTCCAGTCTTATATTTTAGATTATTTTTAATATTGAATTTATTTAGATACAAAAATCACAATTTTGGTTTGACTATACCAAAAAAGGAATTAAAAAGTAAGTTGACATAATAGAATATCTAGGTTTTGTTAAACTCTGTACAGTTTTAAATATTATTTCTTTGATTGAAAAAAACTTATGTGCAAAATCTTAGGTGTTTTGGATAATATTTAGAAGTTGCTCAAGGAAAATAAAAGTTTACTGCAAATTTGGCAAGACAAGGTTTGGATTTAATGTCACACCATGTGCAAGGGTGCATACTTGAATGGGTTTAAAGACCACCATTTAAAAATAACTTCCATATTACAAGCTAAAGTTAGCTTAAATCCATTTAAATTAGTCAGTGACCAGATGTGTTCAATATTGGAGTGAGTTTCTTGCAATTCTTTTGATACTGCAACAAAAATTTGACGCTCAATTCTAGTATCTTCACTAGTCCTTTGAGTTAGAGGTTGTTTGATTTTCTTTTAATCTTAATATATCATAACATTCAGATGTTGCACTATTTACAAGATCAAGTTTAGTCTGTAGCAACAGTAGCATATGTCATCAAGATGCTTTTGCGGCAATCTGGAATGCGTTTTCTGTTGTCCTCAACAACTTGTATTAGTTTCTGCATTTTAGATTCAGTTTTTGTCATGGATTAATTAAATGTGCTCATAAGAGCAACAGAACACTCAGCAGTGTCATTGATAACTTTCACAGATTTAACAATTGCTTTAGTATAATGAAATTCAGCAATTTCCTCCCTGGTCTTTAGATCAGTTCCAGATAAAATAGTAACATCAAGACCAAGTGACTGCAAAGCAGTAGTTGATGATGATGTAACAAGCTCATGAAGTTGCTTCTTTTCCAACTTTTTTAATTCTGCTGCTGGACACTTTATACCCCTGACACTCCATACATCTCCACTTTGAATCATAACTTCAACAATCAACTTTTTTTCTGTGTCACAAACCCTGTCAGAAAATAATGAAAGTGGAATCATTTCTGACCCAAGGTACCAAGTGTGATTTTGAAGCTTCTTCATAGCAGCATTTGAAATGACTTTGTAGATCTCAGAATACTGTTTAATCCTTGTAAAGAGCATCAGGTCATTTGCTGGAGCATTACTTGCAATTGGACAGGCAATCCATGCTGGTACATAAATATGAGCAGCAGCAATACAAAATTCGCACAAGTTGTTCTGTACTTTCATAATAAGCTTGAATTCATTTCTTAAGAGGTCAGGGCAGGTTTATATAGTCAGGTCAGGTTATTATATAGTCAGGTCAGGTTTATCCTGCTACTGGTAACATGTAGCCCAGTACAATCTGCTTCATGTCCTGCTCCCTTGTAGGATATGCCTTTATAGGCAAAGGCTAGGAGATGCAAACTCCGACATAAAACACCCCCTGCCTTGAAGCTCTTGCTTGAGTAAAGGCTAGAGATGGTGTCTCGATAAAAATACTCATTTTGGGCAGATGTTAAATGCATCCGGCTGCTGTCTTGTAGAAGATCTCCAACTCATTCTATTATCTCCAAATGAGGGTGCAGCTCTAACACTCAGTTTTATGGTTCTGAGGCCGGCTGGTAGTCAGGTTTCTCGAACTCTGTGGTAGCTCTCAGAGAGGCTGATTCCATCAACAGCTGAAAAATATCAGAGTTTTAACAGTGCCATGTTCAAGATTGGCAAAAAAACCCAACCCAAAAAAACCCACCTTAAAAAAACCCAATAAAACCCAAAAAAAACCAAAATATATTTGGGTTTTTTTAAAAATGTCCTATTTTACAACTGATAACTCTGATTTTAACACTTAACAATGCTTTATTATCAGCAAATGCAACTTTAATGCTGTAATTACTCTTGTAAACACTGTATTTATATACATAATGGTATTTAGAATATATCCAAAACCGATCAATCTGTTTTTGTAGCAAGTTGAATTTCTATTATTTTTTTAAAACATATAGCAAGTTATTATAAATGTTATTCAACTATGTATTAAAATATTGAATTAGTTAAATGCTTATAAAGGAAAAAAAAATCATTCTATTAACTAAATTTCAAGACATTACTAGTTATTTAGTATCTTTATTCTCCTCTCGAATGTCTATATTTCCAAATAAGCATTTTATTTATGTCATTTTATATTGGTATTTGATCTTTTATTTTTTAAAGCTTATGTTACTAGTTCAAAGCCACAAGCAAAATGCTATATATAAAAATTATTAAACTTTATTTACAGTTTAGAAATGGAAAGTTGTCAGGCCAAAAAAAATCCTACAGTTTACTAGACTTATCTATATTAAGTACATACAACTTTAAAACATAAAAAAAACTAAGTTATGTGCAAGTTTGCAACATATTTGCTCATTCAATGAGAGAACATATTGAAAACTTGTTTGCATTTCACAAGGACAAGATTTGTTGGTAAAAATGATACTCTTGCTCATCTGTCTTTTGACAGGTTTCAAATATTTTGCATCAGCTACAAGTTTACAACATGTCCCACCAACAGGGGTGACTATGAAAAGCAGGTTGAAAATGAACATCAGTATCAAGTTGCACAAAGGTGAAGAAACACACACAATAGAGCTATATAATGTGTTACTTTGATTCAATTGCAAAACTGAGCCAGTAAAACATCTTCAAGAAAAAAAAAAGAATCTGGTGGTGAAGACACTGTAATGGTTCTTAACAAATTCATTTTAGATATTTTAATAACAACAAAAGCTTAGGCAAAAATCCATTTTTTGCCTAAGTCCAGTTGATCATGCCGATAACTTTTCCAGGAAGCTGGACAGTATAATGTTCTGATAAAAAAAATGTAGTGATTAGGCTAACAGTTTCTTCAATGATGCAAAAATATTTAAAAAATGTTCATAGTCATTCTGATTGACAATAACTTAGAAGGTTTAACTATATAACTAGTTTCCAACATTTATATTGTCTTACCAACTTTGAATAACTCAGTTGTAATAATAATTTTTATAGTGATTTTTTTTTAGTCAAAAATAATCTAAACATGTTTTTAATTTAGTTCAATTAATTAACATCATTTATAATTGATGGAGACCCTTTTTGCACTATAGGTAAAATGTGCTAGTAGAATAATAGTAAAACATTTGGCTCGCAATCAGATGGTTGGGGTTCAAATTATCTCTGCTGAAATTATTGCGCTCAATCTATTTTTTCGAACAGTGCATTTGTGTAAAAATTTTAGTTGTTAATGTTGCTTGTTAGTAAAAATGGTAATGTTAAGGATTGAGACAGAATATTTTTAAAAAATGAGTTGCTCCCTTGACTGAAGTGGTCATTAGAGCAATAGGGAGGTGAGTTTATGAAATTAAAAAAAAAAATTATTGTACTCATATAGTTATAAAAATTTGGTATTTTGATCGGTTTTTAAAAAAACCCAAAAAACCCATAAAACCCAAAAAAACCCATTTAGCTTGGGTTTTTTTAAAAAACCCTGGGTTTTTTCCAACCCTGGCCATGTTGCGCATGGATGGTGTCCCTGTTTGTACTTTTGGTGTTCATTGCCAAGGCCACATTGGATCCCTTTGTTATTGCTTAGGGTTTATAAGTGGAAATGAGGCAATTGCTTGGGCAGTGTACTATTACTGAGTAAAGTTCTTTAACAAATTTAAAAATGAATAAAGCAACAAAAACTATAAAACACAAAAAAACCACAGTCATCACCAAGTTTGCTAAACCTATCATTTACTAATTTTCGTGGTCTTTGAAGTAACTTTTCTTCTGTTGAGTCTTATCTCTTGCAAAGTTCACCAGACCTACTTGCTCATTGTGAGACTAGTTTGAGTTCAGTTGTCTCATCTTCTGATCTTAGTGTTGATAGTTATCTTCCCTTAATTTGTAAAGACTCCAATTTAAATTTTACATTCTTAAGAATTCACCCATTTGTCAGGAAACTAGGTTTGAATCCACAGACTACTCTTTTATGTGCTTTCGTTTAGCACCACTTCACTCTATCACCTTTCTCTTTGTTCTATATCGCTCTCCTTCATCTCAAGACTGCACTCTTCTTGATGTTATTTCTGATTATATTGACCAAGCCCTCATTCTTTATCCATCAGCCAATATTGTTGTTGTCGGTGACTTTAATATTCATCACACTGAATGGCTTGGCTCTAGTGTCAGTGACTCCGCAGGCATTACGGCCCACAACTTTTGCCTCTCTCAATCCCTAACTCAAATATTCAACTTTCCAACTCGCTTTCCAGACAACCCGAATCCTTTACCTTCCTTACTCGACTTATGTCTTGTTTCTAATCCTAGACATTACTCAGTTTCACCACACTTACCCTTAGGTGCTTCTGATCATGATTTAGTCTCTCTAAAACTATTAATTCATCATTCATTTTTCCTTAAACATTAGTTCTTGCGAATTTGCTTCCTTCATTTTGCTTTTCTGATTCATGTAATTTGCAATCTTTTAAGTTCTCTGTCAATCGTTATCTTGCTCTACAATCTTCATCTATTCTCTTCCAACACTAATTAGTGGTTGCTTGCAGCCTTGTTGGAAGCAAAGATAATAAAAAAAAAAATTATCTTCATACAATAGGTGACTTTGGCTATTCATCTAGCCATGTGATAAGCTCCCGGTATGCGAATGCAATACTTCTTGGTGGCATAGTCTGATAACAGAAAACCCAAAATTAAAAGGCACAGCTCGATCATCCCTTTACTTCTCTTGGTAAGTGCGAAGAGTCATCTGATAAGAAAGGCTGCAGAAAGGAACCAGCCTTTGATCTAAATTTCTGAAGCTGTGATGTCAGCAAGATGGGCGTCATCTAAGGGAGCATAATTGGCTTGCTTTATGCTTGGCCAACACTTCTGAAATTGTTTAAATAGAGCTATGTTGGGCCCGCTGCTGGGTCTAAGTAAAACTGAGTATATTTCACCAATAATTACTTCATGCATATGGTAACGGCAAGCAAAGTAGAGAAGATTTTTCTCCATCAACTTCTCTAGCAAGATGCATGCACCATTTTTGGAACCTGTGTTTGACGCTGTTGTGTCAAAACACATACCAACAATATAGTTTGCAACA